CACTGTGATATTATTTAAGGCAGCAAAGGGCAAAGAGAATGGCTGGATTCTTGAATAAAATACATCCTCCCTCCAACAAGCTACCTGAAGGGAAAAACTGAAAAAAAAAAGGCTTGAGCATGTGACAAAAATTGATCAAGTGGGCTATAAACCTGGAAAGTACCTTGAACAGGATGGCCCATGCTTGTACACCACCATTAAGGGGTGGTGTCAAAAACAAGGGGCTGAAGATGCATGGTAATGTCCAGATGAGCGCAAATGTGTATGTGACACCAGACCTGTCTGCAATGCCACACACTGCATGCACATGCAGGTGTTCCCTGCACTGCTGCTTTGCAGATGGGGGTGTTTCTTGACCCCGGGAAATCCCAGGGTCAAGAAAACCTATGCCAGAAACAGTGGGGTAGCACATGCACCACCCAGAAATCAGAGCCTTTCCAGCCAGAGCCATGTTCCAGCTGCTGGCTAGGCTCTCTACTGCAGGAGCACCACAGCTGCAACTCACTGTGGTCCCCAGGTATGGCTGGAGCCAGTTGCTGGTCCCAGCTTCTCCTACCCCACCCAAGGTAACCTGTCATGCGCCACAGCATGCATGACATAGGTGTTCCCCAGGGACAAGTAGCAGCTGCTATTTGTGCCCAGGGAAATGCACACTCCTGCTCATGAGACTATCACTTGCTCAAGTCTCAAACACTGCCATGGCATCCAGAATCCCCATACAAAGGGAGACTTAGCCTAAGGAGATGCTTGGAAATCAGCACAATGTGTAGTAACTACTAAAGGCAGCCAAGCGTTGTAAGTAAGCACCCTAACAACTACACTACTGAGTCCTCTGCTGCGATTTCCCCTGACTTATGTCCAAGATTGGGACTCCACAGAGCTCCAATTGACAAGCTCTGCCACTAGAGGCAGTAGAGAATGGAAGAATAGGAACAAAGAGGGTTCAATATGTGGCAACACTGGAAAGTCTGGTTTCCCACCTAGGCACTTGCTAACAGAGAATGACACGAACCTGAACTGTTCTAATACTCTTGGGTGAAAGAGAATTTGGTTAGCTTAGGAATACTCAATACCCACTGTCACAACCCAAAAGGTGTGATTTTTATTTGTGTGTGCTTCGGCACTACTAAATTGTCACTGCTAAATTGCAAGCTTCCTTGCACGGTGGAGTTTTCTGCTGCAAAAGAGAACCCCGGTGCAAGGGAGAATTTTCCCGCCAATTCGAAGCTTTCTTTGCAGGGTCCATTTCTTTGTTGCAGCACAGAAATGTTCGTTGCAAAGAGTTCCTGCCATTGGTATGCTAATTCGAGTCCCACTATTGGCCAGTTCTAAATTATTCACACGTGGCAGCTAGTGATTGGCTTGCTAGCCGTATAAGAGGCTTGAGTGGTTTCCGCCCAAGTTGGAGGACTCCACGAACAAGGGAGGAGGAGACTTCACGCTGTGAAGATCTCTAAGCGCTGCGGATCCTCACGGACCCAGTGCATTTGAAGCAGGCTACGGAGATCTGATCAATCTCTAGCCTCTCCCCGTCGCCGAGCGCAACCCAGATGTATCCCTTCCCGCGCACAAAAGAACTGGACCCACGGAGCCTAGCAAACTCCGTGTGAATGAGTGAGCAGAGGAACCCACGGAGCCTAGCAAACTTCGTGTGAGTTTATTCAGAGCTCTTCCGGACGAGTACTTTCTTCGGCTGACGCGACGGGCTCGCGAGTACAGAGCCTTCAGCCGGATTGGGCTAGAGTTCACGAGTCTAGAACTCTTGTCCGCCTCTCTATCTTTTTCTTCTCTGTAACTGCAACTGAAGCAAGCTTTCCAGCCTACACCATTGCCATCTTGGTGTAAGTAAACAATCTTTTAAACTACCGATACGCGTCCGTGCCTAATTCCAGAGCGAAAGCCCCCCCTCTCCGCCCCGCGTGCCCGGGCTGCCGGCCACAGCCCGCGTGCAGCGCGAAAAAGGGCTCGGGGCGCTCCCGGCCTGCACACCCACTAGTTGGGGATGGAGGGGGAAGCAGCCGTCAAAAAAGCAGAAGGTGTAGTTCATTAAATTTCAAAATACAGATCAAAAGGAAGCAGTGACTTTTTTCCCCCTGTAACAGGTGATTTCTCAGACAGCAGCCTAGCAACAATGTGTTGGGAGTGTGAATAATCCCCGACACATACAGGCCCTAACGCCTAGCTTCTTTCTACCACACAGCAGCATACTTAGTACTTTCTCAGTTGTTAAGCACTGCAGGTCTAAAATAACAAAGTAAGTCTTGTCCACAGCAACTTCCTACATTTTTTTTTCTAAATAGGATGGTACAGATGACAGTAACAGCTGCTGCAACATCCAGATTTCAGTAATGTGTATGTTGAATTATAGGACACATTCATTTTTAACTGGTGCTAAACAGACTGCAGTCTAGACATGCAATGGGAACAGAGATAAGCAGGATAGAGTTGCCTTAAGACAACAGAAATAAGGAGTGCATTCAGTCTGGAGCTAGCTCTCAGCTGAGGTAAGCAACAGATGGAGCCAAATTTGAAGCTGATTACAGTTGTTCAGATGAATGGAAGACATTCACTGAAAGAAGGGGGAGGAAAGACCACTGTACTGCAATACCAAAAGGCCATGTTAGATGACAGAATACATATACAACACAACTGTAGCTTTCTACAATTCGAAAGTTTGTTAGTCGGACAGCAAGCCAAACACTAAAAGAACATGAGTAAAATGGCAGAGCAGGCATCTGAAGGAAGTTGCCAGCGCATGTTTTTTGCATAAACATCCCCCACTACAAGCTATTGTGGTTCTTGTCTGATTAGCCTAGTGTTTGATATACTCAAATATTTGGGAGGGGGAATGAAGCAGAAGGCTGAGTCTGGTCTGTTCTAATGAACATTCAATTTAAAATACTTCAGTAATCATTGTGGCAAGGAGGGGAATGCAGGATGTGTCTGCACAACACAGTATAAGCGGAGTTTCACCCAACCTAACTTACCCATCTGGCAGCCCACCTTAGAGACTAACACATATCACTGGGCTACATTGGCTTCATTAATCTTGCCGCCTTTGCTACACAGTAGCCCACCTTCAAAAAGTGGGGAGTGTCCTGTACAGCTTCCATCCTGATAGTCAGAGCATGCTAACAGGAGATAGGAGTTTGAAACAATTCAGCCTAAAGAGGGGCACTCCCACACTTCCCTGAGTACTCTAACCACAAGGATAACATGAAGTGATTATAACCTCATTTAGCTCTGAGGCAAGCACCCTGTGCTGTCAGTGTGCTAGCTACAATTAGGAAGTAAACCTACCAGAGCAGGAGCTTTAGGACTGAAGTAGGCAGATGTTCAGTAACCGGTGCATCTTACTGGGTTATTGAGATGGGCTGTGAAAATCTGCTCAGTCTCTGCCCCTTGAACCACTGACTGGAGTAGCCTAGACCCACATAAGCAATTATGGGTCTGCCTTCCACCAGTAGCCTTTTGGCTCTTGCTTCAAAGTGCATTATTTGCATGAGCCAACAGAAACTTCCCGTTAACCTGGAAATCACTCTAGTAAGTAATGCTCCTCAGAAAATTTAGGGTTTGGGCTGTTAGTTAACACCTAACCCCATGCTTAGCATATCACCTAGGTGTCAAATAATACATCCAAGTAAAAATGTCCCTCACCTTTGCAGAGTAAAACAGCCAGCAAAGAAGTCATGGCTACTGTTCAAATAGGCCCAGCTCCACTCGCTGTTTGCAAGCCATTTTAAGATTTGAACTATATATATTCCCTTATTCAATCTGGGCTGTCATGTGATGGACAGGCAGAAAGCGCAGGGAATGACTTTACTTTTGCATCTTAGTAAAAAACCAAATGAGCAATGGTAATTTGCTCCAGGTCTGTCAAATAGATGCAGTCTCAGTGCGGCAGGGAACATGCTAAACCCAGTTTTTTGTCCAATAAATCAGTAATTATAACATCTGTAATAAAAGCATCTCTCTCTCATAGTGTAGCACCAAGTCCTAAATAAACTAAGCTACTCCCTATAGAATGCATCTTATCTTTAAATCCAGCTTTTATGGGAATGCAGACACTCCAAATTCTAGAACTCCATTTAAGTCTACCTAGTAAGATTTCTAATCAGTTACAAGCAACTATCAAGAAAGTTCACACAATATAATCAAGTTAGTACAATTAAGCTAAGGTTTTATAAGCTTTCCCTCCACTCTCCCTGTCCCCTCCCCTCAAACAAGAAAAGAAAAACCAGATCTCTTCAAGGTAGAGGCTCCTGGTCCTACTGTTTAAAAGCTCTCCTTCCCCTCTTAACCTTTACATCATACAGCAAACAACCAAGCAACAAACTCAATTATCTTTGCCTGATAAAAAAGCTCAGCCAGTACTCAACATTATGTTGCTGATATTCGGTTTCATTTTTATTAGTTTTTGGTATCTCCTCCAGAGAGTTGATTACTTCAGTATGTAGAATGGCAAGAGATGCAGAAGGTCCGCTTCACTGTTGGCACTCTTCTTAGTCACCTCAGGTTGGCAGAGGTGAGGAGCCTGCTCTTGCATTCCAGGTGTCAGAAGTAGCAAATTGTATGAAGTTTATCTGAAGACAGTCTTATGCTGAAGTGTGCTAGGACAACACTATACCACTGCCAAGTACAGGATCCTTAGGCACAAGCCTTGCAGCAAGCTTATTAAAAAGCTCACTCAAGAAACACATTACCTAAAGTGGGTTTAAATGAGTTTTTATTTTAGACAACCTACATGACAGATGTTTTAAAAACAATGCCTCCACTCCAATCAGGGTCAAAATAAAGTGAATGAAGCTCAAGATGACAATCAGTCCAGTTGTTACACATTGCCAAGTCCTGGTGTTGTGTTGATGAGGAAAAAATAAAAAAGATACCCCGCAGCCAGTCATGATGACAGGTGATCCACAAATTATATTGCTTGGCTTTGTTACTGTAACAAAAGGGATGGTTAGTTTAGGTTCAAGCAATGGCCAATTCCTCCAAGATATACATGTGTTTCCCTATTCAGTCTGTGCTGTCAAAGGATCAGGCAGATAGAAAGTACAAGGAAGTTCCTTTTGCATGTTGTTGCAAACCAAGGAGCAGTAGAAGTGCTCATGGTCTATCGGTGGGATGCATAATTCTACAGGCTTATGGCGCACCACCTCCAACTCTTTCCAGAGGAGCCCTTCTACTATAGGTCACTCTCACTCACCCACTATATTCCTGTGAAGGACACAGTTATGTTAAAACTTATTTA